ATTGAGATGCTTCCTGCTTGTCTTTGTTGCCCAGAATTGCCTTTGCTAATCTATGTTTCTTCTTTATCCAAATGAATTTTAGGAGTGTTTTCTCTAGATATGTAAGGTATGTTAAGGGTATTTTGATTGAGATTACATTAAATCTGTATAACAGTTTTGGGAATATGACCATTTTTACCATGTTGATTCTTCCTAAATAAGAGCAAGGAATATCTTTCCATTTTCTAATATCCTATTCAATGTCCTTTATTAGTATTAGCATAATTTTCAGTATTTAGGTCTTTTACATTCTTTGTTAGGTTGATTCCTCAGTATTTCATTTATCAGATGTTATTGTGAAAGGCAATATTTCCATTATTTGTCTCTCAGTGAGTTTTTTTGTTTGTGTACAGGAATGCTATTGATTTTTGAGCGCTGACTTTGTATCCAGCTACACAACTGAATTTGTTTATTACTCTAGTAGTCTTTTAATGGAGTTTTTAGGGTCTTTTATATAGAGCATCATGTCATCTGCAAATAATTGCAGATAATTTAGCTTCTTCCTTTCCTGTCTTTATTCCTTTTATATCTGTCTGTTATTTGACTTCCCTGGCTAATATTTCCTGAACTATATTGAATAAGAGTTATGATAGTGGACTTCCTTTTTTTTTGTTCTGCATTTCTGAGTGAAAGCTTGCAGTTTTTGTCAATTTAGTATAACATTGGCTGTTGGTTTGTCATAGATGCCCTTTATAAGATTGAAGTAGACATCATATCTTCTGAGTTTCTGAAGGGTTTTTATCATGAACATGTGTTGGACTTTATTGAAAGCTTTTTTTGCATCTATTGAGATGACCATGTGGTTTTTATTTTGGGCTTGGTTGATGCGGTATATTACATTTATTGATTTGTGTACGTTAAATCATCCCTCCATTCCTAGAATGAATCCCATTTGGTTGTGACATATAATCTTCTTGATGATTTGCTGCATTCTATTTGCCAGTATTTTACTGATAATCTTTGCATCAGTGTTCACTAGTGAGATTGGCCTATAGTTCTCCTTTGTGGTTTGGTCTTTTTCTTGTTTTGGTATGAGAGTAATACTTGCCTCCAGGAATGATTTAGGGAGGACTGCTTCTTTTTCGATTTCATTGAAGTGTTTAGGAGTATTGGTATCAAATCTTTTCTGAATTTCTTGTAGAATTCTGCTGTGAATCCATCAGGACCTGGGCTTTTCTTTGTGAGTTTTTAATCATGTTTTCAATTTCAATATCTGATATTTGGTGATTCAAAATTGCTGTATCTTCTTGATTGAGCTTTGGTAGTTTATATCTTTCTAGAAATCTTTCCATTTCCTCTATGTTTCCACTCTATGTGAGTAGAGATTTTCAAAGTAGGTATTCATGATCTTTTGAATTTCCCTGGGATCTATAGTAATTACCCTCTTTTCAGTCCTTATTGTACAAATTTGTGTTTTTTCTTTCTTTTTCTTTACAGGGTTAGCCAGAGGTTTATCAATTTCATTTATTCTCTCAAAAAAAGCTGGGGGGAGGAGTGGGAGCTGAAGATCTACAGCAGGATGTGGGGGTCTCTGATATCAGAGGTGGGACTGTGAGAGTGTCACCGCTAGCTGGAGTTCCTGGTTCTTGAGGTGGGCAGCCCGGATACCATGCCATGAGAGGGGCTCAGGCTTGGGCTGGCCCTGTGCATGGTGCTGGCTGAAGTTTCTAGGACCTGCAAGGTATCAATTGGGATGGTAGGGGTCACAGGAGGGGCCCACGTCTGGCCTGGCCCCATACACGTAACTGGCTAGAGTTCCTGGGTGTTGCAATATGGTTGGCCAGGAAGGCAGGGGCACGGGAATGGCCCAGGTCTGACCCAACTCTGCGCATGCACCACTGGCTGGAATTCCTGAGTCACCAGCTCCAAGAGTTGCCACAGTCCTAACAGCTTCAGGTCAGCTGGATGGTGGGGGGGGCAGGTAGAGGAGGCCTTGGGTCTGATCCAGCCCCATGTGCACTGCTGGCTGGAGTTCTTGGGTCTCACGAGGTGGTTGACCAGGTCAGTAGGGGACACAGGAGGGGCCCAGGTCTGGCTCAGCCCCACATGTGTACTACTGGCTAGAGTTCTAAACTTCTTTTTTGTCCCTATCAGTACTGGCATGGAGCTTCTTAAGACAAGTGCATAAATCATATTTAGGGAATAAAGAAGTCGGTAAGTGTCTTAGCTATTTTTCTCTCTCATTGCTGAGACAAAATACCTGACACCCAAAATTAGGAAAGAAAAGGTTTATTTCTTATAGTTCTTGGAGGTTCCATTCCATACTCAACTGGCTTCAAGGCAGAGTGGCATGGCTGGAGGGCAGCCATTCATGACCACTGCAAACAACAAGGTTTGAACTGGCAAGTGAGTGAAGAAATACTTTCTTCCCCCCATTACACTGTATGTTGTCTCATACCACCAATCTGAGCACTAAGCAACAACAACAAACCAATTAGACATGCTAGACTCAGTTACATCTGTGATTACATGAGGCTTCATATAGGCCACAGGGACACAAACCATAACATTCCGCCGTTGACCCTCTAAAGACACATGTATATCCTTTTAGATAAAAGACATTTAGTCCATCTCCAAGAGTTGCCACAGTCCTAACAGCTTCAGCATCACTGAAAAGTCCAAGTCCCAAGTGTCTTCTGAGACCTATGGTAAACTCCTAACTGCAGCCCTCTGTACAAAGACACAAGGTTAAACATTTCAAAAATTTAAAGGCACAAGATAACCACCATTCCAAAAGTTACAAACAAGTGAATACAAAGCATTGAAACCAAAGCAAGTCCAACATCCAGCAAGGTGACCATTAAGTCCTGAAGTTCCATGTTGAGCCTCTGAAGCAATCTGGTTATGAGTTCCAAAAGACTTGACTGACTCCAACCTCATAGTACTTTCAGGAGGTTTAGCTCCCACAGTTTATCTCTTATGCCCATTCTGTTCAGTTCTTGTAGCTTTCCTTGGATGATCCATTTTTCTGGCTTTTCCAAATTTTGGGGGCCTCCACTGCATTTTTGCCTTCACACTTGCAGATTTACATACTGCCTTCTCAGAGGTTCTCTTCCTGGCCTTCCAGGCCCTCTGAAGTTGGAGTGGAAGATGCCTTAACCTCAGAAATTTTGCATTTTCCTTGCACTTAACACCAGCACCACATGGATGCCAACAAGGTGAACTGCCAGCTGGAGCAGTAGCCAGGTTTTCTCTCCCTTGGCTGTAGAGGTCATGTACCTGGATTGTTGAATTCTATGAATTTCATTGTGAGGAAAAAATTCTCTCTGTTGCTGCCATTTTGGAACCTCATGTGACCGCTGCCATTTTGGAACTTCATGTGGCTTCCACCATCATTCTAGAGCATGGTGCTCTGTAGCTTTGTCTTCTGAGCAAAGTCTTTTGCTTTTGAAGTTTTGAGGCTGCAAAAGGTGGAGACTTACTGCTTCCTGGAATGCCCTCAGGCCATCATTTCTATATATCTGCTCCTCAGCAATCAAGATCTCAGCTCTATCTTTATAGTCTACAGCTTTCTGGCCAACTCCCAACGTTTTAAGTCATCCTGCTGGGCTCTTTGCTCTTGATTCACAATATAAACCTGGTTAAAAGCCCCCAACAACAGTCATGCTACCACCTCAACATTAGACTGCCTTGAAATTTCTTTTGCCAGATAAGTCAGTGTGCCACCCTTAATCTCAGTCTCAAGCAAGGTTTAGGGACACAAGCAAAATGCAGACAAACTTTCTGCCACGCCATAACACACATTTTGTGGAGCCCAGCAACCAAGGTGGCCCTTCTCCACAGCAGAAAACTCATGAGCCTGATCATTACCAGCAGACTTTCTATTAGCCTTCTGGATCCCAGAGCTCTGACCAGAATTTCCCCCACCAAACAGCCTAAGCTGTTACTGCACCACTCTTTCAGGCTACATTTTCAAATGTTTCCAAACTCTTCCTACAAGCCATTTGCAAAGGCTCTTAAAACACATGGTCAGGTATAGTCACAGCAATGACCCCATTCCTCTGCAACCAAATTCTGTCTTAGCTAATTTCCTTTCTCATTGCTCAGACAAAATACATGACACACAAAATTAGGAAAGGAAAGGTTTATTTCTTACAGTTCTTGGAGGTGTCAGTACATACTCAGATGGCTGCAAGGCAGGGTGTCATGGCTGGAGGGGCAGCCATTTATGGCTGCTGCAAATATGAAGCAGCAAGTGAGAGAAGACATGCCTTATTCCAGCCATTACACTGTATGTTGGCTCCACCCCTGGGCAGATGTAGCACTCATACTACCAATCCAAGTGCTAGACAATGAACCAATCACAAACGCTAGACTCAGCTGTGTTCACGATTACATGAGGCTTGAGGTGGGTCACAGGAGCACAAACCGTAACAGTAAATAGGGGTGTCTAATGAATTATGATGAAGTTCTAATTCCAGAATAAGCCTGATACACATGGTAATGCAGTTTGTAATTGTATAAAAAATTAGGTTAGGAAGCTAAATGCTGATCAACTCAAACGTTTTCTTTATTCTATGTATGTTAATGTTAGTTTTTCACATTTTAGAGGAAATATTTCTTCTGATTTCATGTGATGTTGCACTAGATTAGGAAAGTAAATGGAAATCTTCACAAGTTTTGGCAAAACAAAGGATTCTTTTGAGCAACCTGTTAAAATCATATGTTCAAAAATATTTATAAGCTTGAATTATAATGCCAAATAATAGAAACATGAAAAATCTAACAAACTATACAGATAAATATTCAAAGTGCCATATAAATTAGAAATTCAGTAATATGAAGAACTGTTTCATATAAATTAGAAATTCAGTAATATGAAGAACTGTGTTCTCCACTACTGGGAACATTAACTTCTCTCTTTATCTACATAATAAAGAATCTTCCTCAATTTCACTAGCTAGAGGAGAAGCTGTTGTCATGAGGATGGAATATTCCCTGTCTGTGGCATTTTCACCAACTCAATTCATGGTATTAGTATTCTCTTTTTCATCTACCATAGCCTCTTCATACTTGGACTGGAAGGTACTGGGAGCTGTATCATTGATTTTGGCCCAAAACTCCAGGACTTTCATCTTGCTGGTCTCAGCATAGGCTCTTGGGCCCCACAGGAATTCATATTGAGAAGGGTCACTGTCTGGCACCTGGCGGTACTCCAGGTATTTCAACTCCACTAGATCTTTTGTGATGAGCTTCCTGGGCTCCCCAAAAAGGAAGTGTCTCTTTCCATCATATATTTTCATCTTATTCAGAAATTCCCAGATGTTCTCTTCAGTGGCAGAGTTTCCCTTCATGAAGATCACTCCCAGAATGTGCATCAGCAGACCGGTCTTGGGAAATCCATTGCCACATCTCAGCACCCCATTGTAGGGGAGATTCATTTTGCTAACAAAGGTATAAGAGTGGCTGTTAGCAGAGTCTTCTATTAAATTCATGCCAAATACCACCTCTATTTTAAAAGAAGCTTTTCTGAAGATTTCCGGGAAGTGATTCTTGTGCTTTTTATCGATAATCTTCAACATATCTTCTTTGCTAATGGGCTTTTTTGTTTTGTACATGTTTATGATGAAGTTCACCAACATGCTAGCTGTCTTTGTTAGGGAATCTGTGGGAGTCTGTATGATGGAAGTTTGAGCCTGGGAACAATGCTGCCTTTTCTTAGTTTTGCAGGTGGTCCCTTCATCTGATCTTGAAGTTGAAATGTCTGTAGTCATGGAAACTGCTCTCTGAGACCTCTCGGGAGGACTTTGTGACTGAGAAGTGAAATTGGTGTGCCTGATAATTCTTGAAGGAGGAGAAGATGAAGAGGGCACTATTTTCTTTTTGGTAGAAGTAGCCTGAGATTCCTGGAGTCTCTGGGGCTCCCTTTGGAAATGGCAGGATTTCTGAGGAATATGTAGCTTGTTTTTTTTACTCTTTGGCATGATGACTGTGGTCTGGGATAGCAGACACGTCTCTGGGCAGGATAGCACGTTTTATAGGCTCCTGAAGAAGAGCAAAATGAGAATGCATAAGGAGCTTGAAGATACCTCCTTAACTTTAAAAGAGCTGTTTTGCAACTTTCCCTGTGATCATTGTTGTAGGAACTCACAGAGCTCCTCTTTAGATTTTACTGCCCTCTAAGAACACTGTGGAAATAATTTATGCCTTAGGCTATAGCTGACCAGTCCTTTCCTGTGTGCACTGATGTTAAAAATGAAGGTGACAGATCTAATTCTTGGGAGTCTATTTGTACTCTGGGGTAGAGAACATTCTCAGGTGACATTTATCTTTTTAAAATCAACAAGGAACAGAGCTTGTATCTTCCTCTTTGTGCTACAGTAAGTTTGCCATCTTCATCTAATATCCTCTACTTCCTGGAATACCCTTACATCAAGTGAAAGGGCACTCTAGTCTACCCCCATTGCCACTTGCATTCAGTTTTAAGAGCTCTGTGGAGGCTTGCTGTGATATTGGTATGCTGAGTTCCTCTGTCCTCATACAGAGTTCTATCGGTGTCTCTAGAGAGGGTCTAGGTCACCTTTCTATGCTTATTTGTTATCTCTCCCCTCAGACAAGAGTATTCAGCAAACTAATGCAATCAAATCTTAAAAGTTCTTATATGCCTTATCACTATCCTGGACTCCTCAGGGGTACACAGTAGTGAAGCAAACTTTTCTTTCCCTCATCTGTGATGTGGGGTGGTTGGTTCACCAGTCATAACTTAAGATAATCACCTTAAGATAGGTGTCTTAATCACCTTAAGATAAGTGTCTGGGTCTCTTTTCTCTGCAGATTTGGGACATACAGTTAGATCAATCATCCTATTACTTTACATTTGAATAGGGGACAATGTAGCCTGATGGTTTTTTAGCAATTCTCAGAGATGAAGAAGAGGAATAATATATGGGAACTCCATTTTGGGAGTTGATACTTCCCCTTGTTGTCACTTGAGGATCTGATCTTGATTTCTTATAAGATTTTGTATAGGAACTAACATGAATTCTCCCAGCTTCAAAACAAGGCCTCACACAGTGAAGACTCTATAACTACATTTCATTTGAGCCTCACAGAAAGGAGTGGCAGGACATTGTGTTTTGTCATTTCCTTTGAGGAATGACCCTCTCATTAGCACTCAGTGCCTTCACCTTGACTTCGGTTAGAGCCCAGATTGCCTGTACATGCTGAGCTTGAACTACTTCTTTACACCAAACTTTGTCTCCCTTTGGGTTTTCTAGGTACAATTCAGCTTAAAAGCTTTACCTGGGGCTCCAGAGTTATCTCAAGTTATAAGGAATAGAGAATGATATCCTAAGTACAAATTTTGGGGCTTAACTTAAAGACCAGTCCTAGGAATAATCTCCCGTTGAAGGACTTGCAATTTCATATGATTTCATAGCTTCCATATTGCTAGGTTTCACAATATTTAAATGTTTTGTCTCCAACTGCCTCCCTTCTGCGTACATTATTTTTATTTTTTTAATTTTATTTAAAAGGAAAAAGAAAAACAAAACAAAACAAAACAAACCAATGTGGTGTAAGGGTACAAGTAATATAGAACTACAAAAAAAAAAAAAAAAAACAGTAAGAAATCACCAGTTAATAGATCACACATTATCATCTTAGAGATAGTTGCTCAAGCCACTGTATCAAAGCATACAAAGTGGACATTCAAACAGTGAGACTGCAAACAGTTGTGTTCAATGATCCAACCAAAAACATTAATATGCTCATCTATTTAACACACCTAAACACACTTGCAGTTGTATCTTTAGAGCACTTTTTTTCCTCTCTTTTTTACAACAAAATTTACAGATTTTGGGTTTTATTACTCGTTAGTTCTTATTACTTTTTTTGGAAGAGAATAAAGTCAAATATGGCAAAAGAAAGCTATCAGTCAAAACCAAGGATAGACATAGCACATGATGTAAAAACACAGTACAAGGTTATCAACAATGGTTACCATAATGCCTCTTGCTTCCTTAAAAAGAATTGTCTATCTCATTAGGTATTATAGGGTTGAACAAAACAGTAGAGAACAAGACCAATAAAGCCTAAACCTTGTAAACATTACAGAAATTCCAAAGAAGGTAATAGTCAAACCAGAATGGGCATCATGGTGAATCTTATTGCCTTGAAAGTAGTTGCCTATACCCTCAAACTTGATTCTATCATACAGAATGGAACAGAGTCTAATCAGCCAAAACAAGATAGTGGGAGTATTACAGGACTTCAAATCAAGTTAATAGGCAATCAAAAAAGTTACTATAATATATCCTGCTAATTTTTAAAATTTTTCCCCTTAAATAAAAAAATCATAAAAAATAACTAAATATTTTTTTTAATTCATAAGGGAGAGATTGAGATAAAAGAAGACATAACAACATAACAATACAGGTCAAAGCATGACAGTTTCAGCAACCTAGTGCTTCACCACCAAATAACCCGACTTAATAGTAGTTACCATAGTGTCTTTTTCCTTGAAATATTTGAATATAACTTCATATACTATAGCTTCAAATATATCAAGTCAGTGTAAAACCATTCAAGTGGATGAAAGCATTGTAGGGTATTTAGAACCAGCTAACAGAATACGAACAATGGTTTCTATATTATCTCTTTGCCTATAACAATTTTTGTTTATACTATCACATATAATAAAATCCAGCAAGATACATCATGATAAAACCAGTGGAGACAGAAGAGCCATAGTTTGGTGGGGCTTCAAAACAAGATGATAGTAAATCAGTGCTAGGTATTATGATGACTTATTTTCTTCAAAATAGCTGTTCATTTCATCACAGGCAATAATATCAAGCAGCCCAGAATAAAGCCATTTCAATTAATAAGTGAAAACTTTATAATGCTTCAAGGCCACATAATGGGGAATCATGATTATCACATACTTTTATATATTTGAATCATTACTTACATTAGGGAAACTATTCGGTATTCATACATGCGAGATTGATTTATTTCACTTATGAGTATGGTCTCAAGCTGCGCCCATTTATTGATAAATATCTCAATGTGATCCTTCTTTACAGCTGAGCAATACTCCATTGCATAGAAATACCACTACTTTTTTATCCATTCCTCAGTTGATGGACACTTGGGTTGTTTCCAATATCTGGCAATTACAAATTGTGCTGCTATAAACATAGGTGCACATATATCACTGTGGTATGATGCTTTCAGTTCTTCTGGGAATATGCCTAGAAGTGGAATAACTGGAACAAATGGGACTTCCAATGCCAGCTTTTTGAGAAATCTCCAGACTGACCTCCACAAATGTAACAGTCTACACTCTCGCCAACAGTGTAGGAGAGTTCCTTTTTCCCTACAGCCTCTGCAGCATTTGTTGTTGTTGGTTTTCTTGTTCCTGGCCATTCTTTCAGGAGTGAGATGGAATCTCAGTGTTGTTTTAATTTGCATTTCTCTAATGACCAATGATGATGAACATTTTTTCATGTATTTATTTGTCATTTGTATTTTTTCATTTGAGAAGTGCATATTCATCTCAGATGCCCATTTTTGGATTGCATCTTTGAATTTTGGGGTCTGAGTTCTTTTTTTTTTTTAATTCTTTATATGTTTTAGACAAAAGTCCCTTGTCTGAGGGGGAGTTCACTAAGATCTTTTCACAGTTTGTGGGCTTCCTTTTCACTATGCTGGAGATTTCTTTTGACATGCAGAAACTTTTTTCCTAAGAGGTGGTCCCAGTTATTGATTCTGGGAAGTATTTCCCATGTGGTTTGAGTCCTGTTCATGAATTTTCTACCTACCCCTATGTATTCAAGGTTTCTACCCAATTTGTCTTCCAATAGATTTAGTGTTTCTGTTTTAATATTCAGATCTTTGATCCATTTAGATTTTAGTTTAGTACACGGTGATAGGCATGGGTCTAGCTTTAGTTTTCGGCAGATGGAGAGCCAGTTTTTCCAACACCATTTATTAAAGAGACTGTCATTCTTCCAGGGAGCCTGCTTGGTTCCTTTATCAAAGATAAGTTGTGATTTGTAGTTGTGGTTGTATCATCTAATCTATTCCATTGATCTTCAGCTCTGTTTTGATTCCAATACCATGTTGATTTTACTACAGTTGCTTTGAAGTATAACTTCAAGTCAGGGATGTTGATGCGTCCCCCCTGGCCTTTGCTGCTTAGAATTGCCTTTGCTCTTCTAGGTCTCTTCTGGTTCCAGATGAAATTTAAGAGTGATTTCTCTAGATTTATAAGGTATGTCGATGGTATTTTTATTGGGATTGCATTGAATCTGTATAACAGTTTTGGGAGAATGGCCATTTTCACAATGATTGTTCTTCCTATCCATGAGCAAGGGATGTCTTTCCATTTTCTGAGATCATCTTCAATTTCTTTTTTCAGTGTATTATAATTTTCCCCATATAGGTCTTTCACTATTTTCGTAAGAGTAATTCCTAAATATTTCATTTTGTTGCTTGGTAGTGTGAAGAGTGTGGTTTCTCTTATTTCCCTCTCTGTGATTTTGTTGTTAGTGTATAGGAATGCTATTGATTTCTGAGTATTGATTTTGTATCCAGCTACATTACTGAATTTATTTATTATATCTAAGTCTTTCAATGGAGTTTAGGGGGTCTTCTATGTATCATGTCATCTGCAAACAATGATAATCTAACTTCTTCTTTTCCTGTCTTTACCCCTTTTATTTCTCTCTCTTGTCTTATTGCTCTGGCTAGTACTTCCAGTACTATATTAAATAGGAGTGGTGATAAAGGACATCCTTGTTTTGTGCCTAATTTTAAAGTAAAGGATCTCAATTTTTGGCCATTTAGTATGATGCTGGTTGTGGGTTTGTCATAAATGGTCTTTATTATATTGAGGTAAAGAACATCTATTCCAATTCTATGTAAAGTTCTTATCATGAATGAATGTTGGACCTTATCGAAGGCTTTTTCTGCATCTATA